TTTCCTCTCTCTGAAATCAATAAAGATATATTAAAAAAACAAACAAACAGTGTACAAGTGCCACTCTAGACTAAATCAGAATTTCAAGGGGAGGGGATTGCTAATCACTGGTATTTTTAGAAGTTCCTCTCCCCACCACTCCCCCTCATTTCTGACAGTCATCTAATGTTGAGAAGAAGACAAAAAACGTTATTTAAAAGGTGGGATTAGTTGGACTTTATCAAAACATCCCATACACTACAATTTCCATTCTTTGGTGGCCTCTTTATCACTAGAGTTTAACTAGAAGTAGCTCATGATTTTTTTCCCTTAAACTATATACCAGCATTACTTTTTAAGGAATGTCTTTCTGTTCTTGACATATATTTAGTACATAATAAAATAACACATGGAGTCTATATATAAATATTCTGCAATCAAGAACAAAGGAAACACAATTCACTTGAAATACATAGAAATAAAGATAAGTAATTTTGCCTAAACAGGGAGAAAAACTGAGTTTCAAGATTTATAAAAAATATATATTTTTATTTTTTCAAAGTATTTTTTATTCTTTTAATTATAGTTGACATATGTTACATTAGTTTCAGGCGTACAACATAGTGATTAGACATTTATATAGCTTACAAAATGATCACCCTGGTGAGCCTAGTACCCATCTGACACCATACATAGTTATTGCAATGTTACTGACTATATTTTCTGTGCTGTACTTTAATCCTTATGACTTGTTATAACTGCTAATTTGTACAGCTTAGTCCCTTTAACTTTTTCACCCATCCTCCCAACCCCACCTCTCATCTTGCAATCATTAAGTTGTTCTCTGGATCTATGAGTTTGTTTCTGCTTTATTTTGTTCTTTAGATTCCACATATAAGTGAAATCATATGGTATTTGTTTTTCTTTGTCAGACTTATTTCACTTAGCGTAATACCCTCTAGGTCCACCCATGTTGTCTCAGGTGGCAAGATTTCTTATTGCCTTGTATGTATATACTAAAAGTTTTTAATCTACTTGCCTATAGATGTATACTTTGGTTGCTTTCATATCTTGGCTATTATAAATAATGCTGCAATGAACATAGGGTTATGTATATCTTTTCAAGTTGGTGTTTTGGTTTCTTTGGATAAATACCCAAAAGTGGAATTGCTGGATCTATGTTAGTTTAATCTTCATAATGTTTGCCATTAAGGCTGCACTTTATCAACAACCCCAGCAACAGTGCATGAGGGTTCCCTTTCTCCACATTCTCGCCAACCCTTGTTGTTTGTTGATTTGTTGATGGTAGCCCTTCTAACAGGTGTGAGATCATATCTCATTGTAGTTTTAATTTGCATTTTTCTGATGATTAGTGATGTTGAGCATCTTTCCATGTGTCTATTGGCTATCTGTGTGTCCTCTTTGGAGAAGTGTCCATGACTGGGGATCGAGCCCACAACTCAGGCATGTGCCCTGACCGTGAATCAAACTGTGATCTCCTGGATCCTAGGTTGATGCTTAACCGCTGAGCCACCACACCTGGCTGGGCCCCATTTTTTAATTGGATTGCTTGTTTTCTTGGTGTTAAGTTGTTTGACTTTCTTATATATTTTGGATATTAACCCCTTATCAGATGTATGATTGGCACATACCTTCTCTTCATTCAGGGTGTCTTTTCCTTTTTGTTGCTGATTTCCTTCATTGTACACAACCTTTCCCTTTGATGTAGTCTCATTTGTTAATTTTTTCCTTTTGTTTCTTTTGCCTAAGGATTCATTTCCAAAAAAATATATTGCTAAGAGTGATGTCAAAGATTTTATTGCCTATGCTTTCTTTTAATTAAGAGTTTTATGGTTTTGAGTCTTACATTGAAGTCTTTAGTCCATTTTGAATTTATTCTTGTATATGATGTAAGAAAGTGATGTAGTTTCATTCTTTTGTGTGTATCTGTCTAGTATTCCCAACACCATTTATTGAAGAGACTATCTTTACCCACATTGTATGTTCTTGCCTCCATTGTCATAGATTAATTGACCATATAGGCATGAGTTTACTTTTGGGGTCTCTTCTGTTCCATCGAATCATGTGTCTGTTTTTATGCCAGTACCATGATATTTTGATTACTATAGCCTGGTAGTATAGTTTGATGTCAGGTATTGTCATACCTCTAACTTTGTTCTTTTTTTGCAAGATTGCTGTGGCTCTTCAGAGTCTTTTGGGGTTCCATACAAATTTTAGGATTCTTTGTTCTAGTTCTGTGAAAAATGTCATTGGTATTTTTGTAGAGATTGCATTGAATCTATAAATTGCTTACTTTCAAAGATTTTTTTCCTTAATGGTGTTTCATCTTTTTCCTTCCCTTCCCCAGGTTTCCATTATAAGCAGTAAAAACCTAGGAATCTGCCTTGAAAACGGACTCACTGTAGAAAATATTACTGGATAATGCAGAATGCATTCCACGCTTATTTTTTCCTTCTATGTTTGTATTCCTGGGATTTATCCTCAAGTGTTTTTCTAACCATAAATAATTTTAATGCATTTAAAATGTTTTGGTTATTTCTGGTCACTTGGGCAGTACAAGAAAATCTAGCTTCTGAATATTGACCACCTCTACACTGCATCTGCTTCCTGAGATACAGTATCCAAGAGATCTGTAAAATGCCATTTTTCTTAGGTGTGGAGTATTGGTATCTAGGGACTAGGCTTTATTTAGCAATTAGAATTTAGTGAAGATAATAAGGTAAGACATAATGTTTGGATGAAATGCAGAATAAAAGAATGTAAGAAAATAGTTTTTTGGGGTGCATTAGTGTACGATATATTGAAAGACAGAGCCTTTTGCTTTTTGTACTCTTCAGGAAAAGAAAAAAAATCACAATCATGAAGTATTTAAAAAACCACACCTGGAACAGCTGAAATATGTCCTCTGACTACGAGGACTGTAGAGGTTTTGCATATCCTTACACACACCCTCCAGGGAAAATTGGCCTCGATGTCACACTCTAACACTTTCTTGTTATTGCTTCTGAAGCCTCTGGGCATTGCCCATTTATTAGTATTTATTGGAAAAAAATAATTCTATCTTAACTCAGGTCTGTGTAAAGTCAACTAAAAATGAAAACTTTCTATCCCTTCTCATTTTACATTTAGTTATACAGCCAAGGCAAGTGGAATTGGGAAGACATGTTTCTACGTGTCATTCTCTCTGGCCACAGATTGAAGATTCCCTCTTGCTTAAAAAACATAGCAGTATTTGTTGACAGCCTCAAAAAGGATTTATGTATTTTCCAATAGTTAGATTAATTCAACATGAAGTTGATGTTGGTAAAGCGCTTCTTTATTCATGTATTTGGTTCTACAACTTGCTATTGATACACGGTCATTGGATCCTTTATACAAGACCTTTAAACTCCTCTTCAAGAAATCTAGTCTTTGTCTAGCTCCTTATGGAAATACTTATTTTCCTATACTAGTTAACACAAATGTCAATCACGCTATATATATATAAATAATATCCCTTCAGCTTGACTGCCTATTACTTGTCACTGTATGAATTGGACATTTTTGGCATTCTAGTATGCTGTTTGTTTAGGAAAGAAATGCATAGGTGACTATTGAAAACGTTCTTAATCCATTCTTTTCCCATTGGGAAATGCCTTCAGTTTGCCTTATCTTTCCCGATAGTCTTTAAAGTCTGACAATATTCAGGAAGCTACTAAGAGTGGTTTTAAGAGTGGATTTGGGTGTTTCATTTTGAGAAGGGTCTTTAGTTTCCTAAAGTGTTTGGATTGTAGGGATTTGGGTAAAAGGAGTGTAAGAGTTAAGTTTTGGGGAAATGATAAAGAAACAAAACCCTACGGGAGGTAGTCATTTCAGAGAAATGGGAAAGGGGAAATAACTGAACTTGGAATGGCCAAGATGAGATGAGTGAGTAAAAGCCTTCATTGAGCCAGGGGCAAGTAGGTGGAGGTCCTGGCCTTATGTCCAGTTGCAGAGAGGGTGGTTTCAGTATCCAAAGCTTAGGCTTGTTGACTTACATGTTTTTTGTCTGCCCTGTGATTTTGCTTTATGTTTTAAAAAGTTTTTATGGTAGCTTTAAACGGAAAAAAACAAAACCAGTGTATTTTTATTTGATAATTAGGCAGATGGGTGATATCATTTGCCATATTTTTATTTTATAAATGTTTATTTTTATATCTCATGCAATGATCAGTTTTACTTTTAAATTCTACATTCCTCTTGCCTTTCATGTACTTTATTCAATTATATTTATTATTGTGAAATGCTAACTGGATATATTTCATTCAAAAATGTCAGGCCACTTAACACTTAACTGGAATGTTATAGTGTTTCAACTGTCTTAGCGAGTGACCCAAGGTTGGTATTTCTTTGCTACAACCATTTCAACATCTGTATTGAAAATTTGATATTTCGTCTTTAGGTTTTTAAAAAAAGTGGTATTTGAGAATATGTTAATGTAACTTAATGTTCCGTAAAGCAAACACGCTTTACAGAGTATGAGAGTAACTCTCCCTGTGAATAAGGGGACGAAGTCAAACGCAGCCTGCTAAATCCCCCTGTCCTCGTTCACCTCACTCAGATAATGAGATTGTCTTTGGGACTGGGGAAGCAACTAACCACGGCATTTTAAGGAACTGCCAGTCGTTCTGCACTGTGTTCTCTGTTTTTCACTTTGTCATTTCTGCATAAATGTGGGAGCATTTATTTTGTTCCTGTTCCTGCCGCTGGAACACAGTTTAATTTTTAGGCCCACGATGTATTATGCTTTAATGTTGTGATGTAAACTAATACTTCTGGCCTTGGAAAATGTTTCTGTTTCTATACCTCTCTTCTCTGGAGGCCAGGCTCTGTTAACACTAGTGTTGCTAAATGAGCACAATATGTTAAGGAGCCTTATACTGGGCAGATGCAGCCCCTCCCTCAGCCTAACTTTTTGTAAAACATTGCCTGGAAACAAGGTGAGATGGGCCAGCTTAAATGCTCTGAGTTGAAAAAACAATTCTACTCTAGTGTCAAATCATTGTCAGCCATGTTATTTTATTAAGAGACTAGATAGTTGCTGCACATATTTTAAAAGAACACTGAGATTTTTAGAAAGTGACTTTGCATACCATTGAATTTCTATTTCTCAAATATCTTTACAATAACCAGCAACGAACAGTCTAATGAATGGCTTGAAAGACTATATAGCTTTTGATCATAGAGAAATATCTGAATGAGAAAGGAAAGATGTGGATAGATGCTCCCAGGAGGAAAACCTTTTCAGAAGGGCAGTGGCCACGGGATCTAGATCAGCAAATCCCAAAATGTGTGACCTTTGTTGGCCTTGTGTTCCACTGAACTCACAAAGAAAACTATGAACTGGACCCATTTTCCCTTTTCTTCTCTTCTGTGGCCTGCAGCCGAACTTGGGTGACGAATAAATTCCTTGCTGACTCTGACCATACCTTTCCCTCAATATCAGGACTTTCTGGTATAAAAATAATTAACTTTTAACTGATTCTTATTTTTCTTTAATACTTTCAAATGTTCTCTTAATTTGTCTTGTGCCAAATTGTTCTTTGGAAACACCTGTTATAATATGGTGCATTCAGTTCACCACATAAGTGGTTAACATTTTAGAGCCTTGATTTTTAATGAGTGTTGCCTTTGTATAAAAATATCAAGATTATTTAATAATTCAGTGATGATTTTCTCAAAAGGTAGCTGTGGTGATTGGCTGTAAGATCTTCAGCCAAATAAAGGAACAGGACCCCTGAGTAATCAGCATTCTGAGGACTGAGAACAGAGTAGAACTTGTACTCAAAGGCTTCTTTCCCTTTTGGGAAAACAGTCCTCATGTAGGGAGTGCTCATGTGGGAAGCGAACACTGACCAGGCAGATTCCACCATACATAACGTGCCATATCCTGATAACATTGGCTTTTTAGACACAATAATAAAAAACAAAACACCTGTTCTTTCAGCAAAAAGGAAAAACAGATTTTTAAAATGCTCTGTTCATTATTTACTGCTCTTAGAGAAGTGACTAGATAAATGGTCCCATTTTCTCCTCACATCTGGTGGTGCCTGTGAGTCTTAAAGCCATAACTGCTTACCTTCCTATTGCTAGAACGCTTTTCTCTCCTTAGCCCATAAGAGGCAGCCTGGGCAGGGAGAAGCAAACTGGAGACTGCCCTGACAATGCTGCGTGGCGCACAAAGTCATCCAGATTCCTGGCCGAAGAATCTTTGATCCCTGATGATATATAAGATCATTAAAGGGAGGAGTCAAGGCCATTGTTGCTCCTGTCATTTAACTGTTGAAAATGCTGAAATTTAATTCTGGAGAAGTCAAGAAGGAAGAGGTAAGCTGGAAAATCTCACTTCTGCAGTCGCTTTTCTGCTGAGACCTGCACTTCATGTGAGCACTGTCTGAGGAGCAGTATTGCCTTAAATTAGTCTGATTCCAACTGAGGTCAGAGTATTGTACTTCTTATATGTAAATGACTGTCAGCTCTCCATTGAGATAAAAAATTCACAGGTGATCCCCAAGCATCCTTGCCGTCTGAGCTGTGGACCTCCTCCCACTGAGCTGTGGGTAACCTCTACACGGATAGGCACATCATTTCATTTCAAGTTGCCCCTCTATCTGTGGATGAGCAGCGGCACGGTGAAAAAGGCTGGTAGGAGAGGGAGAATTTCCTGGCCAGATTGTTCAGGTTATTCCTGAATAATTGGGAGTTGACTGTCTTTTTCCATTATGACCATGTAGAAGATATTTCCAAAGGTTCTATTATGCATTGAAGTCAACTCATTACTGTCTTGTAAGAATTTCATCAGCACTCTTATGTATTGAAATGCATACCATTAACAACAGAGAAAACCAAACAAAATAGAGACCTTCACTTGAAATTGGAGATTAGTTGGTGTGAAGAGTCTTTCTGGTTTATTACTTTCAACAGAGAATTAACCCGGAAAACTTAGGCTGTGGTAGGGAAGACACCAGTGTTTTTTTAAAGCTTGTATTTGATGCCACAAATCAGTATAACCATCTAAGTAATCATGTTGATTTGTGGAAATAATCTGGTCCTAAAAACCACTCTTTCCCTTATATATTTGTGAAATCTGCCTAGAAACATGTCCCTGATAGATTTAGTAGGCATTTGTGTATTCTCAGCAAACTAGAAAGGTTCTTTTCCTTTTGAGTAACTTCATTGCCTAGGGAGCTGGCACCTGCTGGCTTTAGCTTTTCAGTTAAGGGCAGAGCTGACTGTCTGACTCAGTGCCCCAAGATTCATTGCTGAGGTTCATGTGGAAGGAATAGAAGGACTGAAAGACAGGGTTTGAGTGACATTTCCGTCACAAAAGAGCAAGGATTAAGAACAGCGAGGGCAGTTGAGAATATCCTGTTACACATCCTATGCTTAGGATATGTGTTTCTTGCACTGAATTTCAGACCCTCATTGCTAAAATAGTTTCTGGCTGTTAAATTTGGTAAGAGGGTTTTTGATGTCAGGATATTTTTAGAATTTCTTGTTGAATTAGTCTCTGAAATCCCCGCAGGTTGTGACTTCAACTCTTGCCATACGCTGAAAGCCCAGTGCCCTGTCTCAGAAATAGCTGTATTTTTCACCTGCCTCTTCAAGGCAACCTAGTATTTATTTCATGAAGTATTGTAAATAATGAGGAGGTATAGTGGGAAGATAGCATATAAAAATGATGATCCAAAATGAGAATTCTCTGGAATGGTGTTTTCCTTAAGAATCCATCCCAGCACAATATTATATCTTGAAAGGTGCTGAACTACAAAGTACAACTAAGAGTTCACTCATACAAATCAAGTTGCTCAGGAAATTTGAGGTGGTGCTGTCATTTGTCTTACAATTTGGTAGAGTACTCTTTTGAGAGAGATACTGCACGGTACCCAGGCAGTTTCAGATTCTTTGCTAAGAAACTCTTTGACATTTGGAATGTGGATATGTTTCAGAAACACATGATGTATTATCCCCAGTGCTCATCAGTTGGTAGCCAAGCCCCAGAGGGAAAGTCAGCTTTGAAATAGTTGCTTCATGGAACTGAACAGAACCTTGATGGAATACAGTTGCCTATCTGAGGACAGAAAACAGAGGCCACCTCAAACCACATGCCTATGTAGAGATTCAATGAAACTGTGAGGGACACTCCTGTGGATGCCTTAAAGGTGACTGGTGTTGGGACCTGGTGGGTGTGTATGCACCCATCTGGACTAGGCCGATGGAAACAGTGTATTTTAATTCACCCTCATATAGCACAAGTCGTTCCTGCTCATGACCTCATCAAAGAACAAGAACCTGGTGCTGGTGACTTCCATGTGTCTTGGGAGGTTGAGGTGGGAATGTCATTTGGACTCTCCAGCGCTCAAGCCTCCGTTAAATGCCACTTAAGCATCTACATTAATTCATCTATGCAAGCTTGTGTTTATATGGTTTGTTTTTGACACCCATGTCCCATTTGGTTCTTTAAACATCAGGATTAACATTGATATGAATAATTTTTAAACCAAAGCATTGTATAAGTCTGCGTGCTTGTTTTCCTGGATGGTCTGAGGCAAACACCAATATTGTCCTTTTCTCTGAATAAAGTCATCCATTTGTTAAGTCAATGGTCTCTGACTCATGTTTTCTTTACTGCCTTCAAGACCTGGGAAGTTCTGGGAGTATTATTTGCTTCCACCTCTTACAAAGTAACCCTAATATATCTTTGTTTAAGTAAATTTTCTCTTATTCCAGTTCCATCCACTTTCTGTAACCACCTATAACATACTGGTCTATAGTACATTGCAATTCTTGACAAATACACCCAAGTCTAAAATTGGTTAGGAAAGTGGCTTTGTTTTGTGTGGTAGTGGTGGTGCGGGTGGGG